TTTACTGAAAAAAATATAAACTTCAAGTTAAAATAACTTATTAGTTTCAAAAACTAAATAATAAAAATCAATAATAATTATTGATTTTTAACAACAATTGTAAATTTGACGTTTTTTCTTAATTTGTTTGTCTTATTTTGTTAAGAAAGCGCACAAATAGACAATTTTAATTAAAAAATAATATTTCTATTTAATTTTTTAATTACCATAAAACGGGGTTACTTTGACATAGTTTGAGAAGTTTTGTTAATGTAACTTTCTTATTTTATTTGTTGCAATATTTTCTTGAAACAATTAGCATCAGAACAATTGATTCTTCTGCTTTAACAAACAAACTTAAAATTTTGCCTTAAGGTCATAGTTTTTCCAAAAAAAAATAGAAAATTTGGTGTCAAAAAAACCCCGACTTCAGGGCTACTTTGACAGTCCCTTTAATTACGTTGAAAATCAAAGTTATGCTAGCCTGGGGGATACTTTGACACCTTAAAACTAAAAATATGTAATATATGATGAAAATAAACTTTATTAAGCTCATTAAACACAAAACATAAAATATACATGGTGTCTGGAAAATCGCGCACCTCCGTGACACTGTATCATCGGACGATGCCCTAGACAACAAGACAAATGTTTAAAAAAACTATCTATAAAAATTTAAATTTTGCACTTTAACTCTATTTCTGTTGGAAAAATAATTTTTCAAATTTTTTTGCAACAAGAAAGCTGTATCTTAAATTGTAATTCTGCTTAGTGTTATTTGTGGCTTTTATTGACAAAATTTTTGTACTTTTACTAAATAATTATAAAAAAACGTATACAAGATTATCAGTATCATTAAATACACATAAAAATATGTCAAACGTCAAAAAATATATGTAAAATTTTTTTGACAGATAGAATTTTTTAACATTTTTTCAGTAATCTGGGGGACTACCCAATTACTCCTTTTTGAGACACCTTGTATATTTTATTTGTATTTTCCTAAAAAAATTAAATAATTTATTTTTTGTTATGTTGTGGCTTTTATATGGCATAAAAATAAAATAAACATAATTTCGGTAGGTAACTATACTGACAATGAAACAAAACGTGTCAAAGTAACCCAGGATGTCAAAGTACTGCTTGGCATAATTTTTTAAACCGTCTAGTCAGTGAAATTTGTTGGTTTTTCTCACTTGACTAGTTTGGAATTTTCTTGAAAAACTCCTCAAATTGGGTAAAAAATTGGTAATAAATAGTCGTAATATTAGTCGGTTATTAAGTGGGGTTGCAGTTTTATCATCAATTAGCTGTTGGAAGGAATGGAAGTTATTCGTATAACGCCGTGCGATAATTTAAGGGTGGAAACAAAAGCAACCT